CCTGCTGCCCTCCCCCCCCTCCCTCCATTTTTGGGAGTGGGAACGAGCTGGAACTGAGGGGGGGCAGGGCTGGTTCTTTGGGGAGGGTTTAACCCCCCTCTCTGCCCCCCCCCAGGGCTGGGGGGGCCATTGCCCCCCATCTCCTTTCCGGAGGCACTGCAGCACTTCAGGAGCCAGTGCAGGGTACAGACCCTCCCCCTCCCCCTGGTAATCTGGGGTGGGGGGAGCACCCTGCTCCCCCCTCCCCGTTCCTGCCCTCCCCACAGATGTTTTCTTCTGGTGTTTTCTCCCCCAGGGGAAGGCGCAGGGGGGGGGGCACGGGCTGCTCTCCCTGCTGAGCTGCCTCTGCAGCCCCCCCGGGCTGCGGCCCCCCCTGTGGGCTGAGCGGGAGCTGGTGCTGGCCATGGCCACCTGTGAGTGTCCCCCAGGGCTTCACTCCTTCCCTTTGGGGCTGGACATCCCTGTTGTCACCCTGAGGAGCAGGGGATGAGTTTTAGATGCCAAGAGATGTTTTTTGGGTACGAAAGGGAGACTTCCAGTTGCTGAGGGTGATTTTAGCCACCGGGAGGTGATTTTTCATGGCTGAGGGGTGACAAAGGGTGACTTAGTGGCCAAGGGGTGCTGTCCAGTGGCCAAGGGGGGATGTTCATGGCCAAGGGGTGCTGTCCCCTGGCAGGTCCCCTGGATGACAGCCAGCAGGTCCACCTGAGGATCCTTCAGACCATCTTCCAGCAGCTGACGCACTCCCAGCTGGGCTGCCCGCGCTACGGGCCTCACTGGGAGGAGCTGGGCTTCCAAGGTGAGCCAGAGGGAAAGGTCCCCAGCAGCTTCTGCTGGACCAGGCCTTCTGGTCCCCATCCCTGGTCTGGAGTTGGGATCCAGAGGCAGCAAAGGATTGGGATCGTGGAATCCCACGGGACTCCTTGTAAAAGGGCAGTCTCTGTCTTCTCTGGAGCCACCTTTGAGATGCTGGAACAGGGTGGGAGGACTTCCCTGAGCTGCCTTTTCTCCGGGCTGGAGAAACATGGTTCTCCCAAACTTCCCTTAGGCCTTGGATCATCTCCATGGCCTTTCTCCAGACCCTTTCCTCTTCTTTTTTGCACATCAGGGACCAAAACTAGACCCAGTATTCCCCAGGTCCCCCCCGACCCTGGTGTCACCCCCCTCAGTTCCCTCTGGTTCACTCCAGCCCTTCCAGCTTTCTCCTGGTTTTCTGGCTGCCCCAGTGACAGTCCCAGCCAGTCCAACACCTGCACTGGTGGTACCAGGTGACACCAACACCCGTTGCCATGGTTACCCTGGTCATTAAATGTTCCTCTTAATGATCCATTCCCGCGGCTAATGAGCCATCTCGGGAAGGGTTGGTTGAGGCTTTGTCACTTGTCTGTGCTTCAGCCTGAGCTGGGTGACAAAAACAAGGCCATTAACACCATCACGTGGGGCCTGGCTGGAGTTTAATTAGCTGGGTCTTAATGAAGCTGAAAAGCCCCATCAGGAGGGGGGCACCTGTCCCTCCACCCTTGGCACCTCCACCCCTGTGTAAAGCCTTCCTGGAACAGCCAAAGTTGGTGGGCAGGTGTCCCCACAGTGTCCCCCAGGGGACAGGAAGAGACCTCAGGTTGTCCCTCCTCACTTCCCGAGGTTCTTGCCACCCTTTCCAGGTGCAGATCCCAGCACTGACCTGCGTGGGACGGGAATGCTGGGCCTGATGCAGCTTCTGTTCCTCCTCACCCACCCCCAGCTGCTCCCTCTGGCTCAGGAGATCTTCAGGTTGTCCCACCACGAAACCCAGGCATGTTCTTCCCTCTCCTCCCACTTCCACTTTTTTCCTATTTTTGCAAAAAAGGGAAGGACAACAATCCTGCTCTTCAGGGCTGGATATTTTTTGGCTGCTCAGCCCCCTCTGGCACTGCTGGGTGGGAGGAAGGAGGTCCCCAAGGAGCTCAGGTGAGAGCTCCTGGGTGCTGGGAAGGTCCGGTTGGGGCCTGTGGTGTCCCCAGGGGTCAAAACTTATTCTGGTTTTGTTCAACATCTCCAGAGGTCATTTCCAACCCCACCACTCTGATGCTCCTGCTGTGGGTCTGTTGCCTGCTGCTTGAGGGGCTTCTCAGCCGATCCACACTCTCCTTCTCCTCCAGAGCTTCCCCTTCTGCATCATGTCAGTGAACATCACCCACATGGTCCTGCAGGCCCTGAAGGAGGAACATCTCTCCAGGTGGGATCCTGAGCAGCTCTGGCTTGGGGGTGGGAGGGGTGGTTTTGGGGTCTCAGCTGAGCCCCCGTTTCCCCCGGATCAGGGTGTGCAACCGCAGGCAGGAGGTGATCCCCGTGCTCAACCACCTCCACGCTGCCACCTTCCTGCAGCTCTTCCAGCTCTGGAGAGGACAGCACAGGACCATCGCCGACGCCAGCTTTGTCCTCAAGGGTGTGTCTCCCTGGATTTCCCTGGACTTCCCTCCTTTCCCAGCCAAGGAAAAGAACCCAAAGCCCAGAGGACAAACCTGGTGTCTTCTCACCACATCCATGTCGGTTGGGGCCTGTGGTGTCCCCAGGGGTCAAAACTTATTCTGGTTTTGTTCAACATCTCCAGAGGTCATTTCCAACCCCACCACTCTGATGCTCCTGCTGTGGGTCTGTTGCCTGCTGCTTGAGGGGCTTCTCAGCCGATCCACACTCTCCTTCTCCTCCAGAGCTTCCCCTTCTGCATCATGTCAGTGAACATCACCCACATGGTCCTGCAGGCCCTGAAGGAGGAACATCTCTCCAGGTGGGATCCTGAGCAGCTCTGGCTTGGGGGTGGGAGGGGTGGTTTTGGGGTCTCAGCTGAGCCCCCGTTTCCCCCGGATCAGGGTGTGCAACCGCAGGCAGGAGGTGATCCCCGTGCTCAACCACCTCCACGCTGCCACCTTCCTGCAGCTCTTCCAGCTCTGGAGAGGACAGCACAGGACCATCGCCGACGCCAGCTTTGTCCTCAAGGGTGTGTCTCCCTGGATTTCCCTGGACTTCCCTCCTTTCCCAGCCAAGGAAAAGAACCCAAAGCCCAGAGGACAAACCTGGTGTCTTCTCACCACATCCATGTCCCACTGAGCCCACCTCAGGGCTCTGACACCCAGAAGGCCCTGTTGAGGTTCTCCAGAGAGCCTCAAGGATTTGGAGAGCAAGAAGGGTCTGGAGGCCCTATCCCTGGAGGTATCTAAAATATATGGAGATGTGGTGCTCAGGGACATGGTTTGGTGGTGGCCTTGGCTGTGTTGGGTCAACAGTTGAACCCAAAGTTGTCCAAGGTCTTTTCCAACCCAAATGATTCCATGCCCCACCACCCAACCATGTCCCACCATGACTCAGCCATGTCACTCAGCACCACATCTCCATGTATTTTAGATGCCTTCAGGGGTGGTGACTCATGGAATCGTTTGGGTTGGCAAAGACCTTTGAAGGTCTTCCGAGGGGACGTGGGGAAACCAAGAATAAGCAGATCCAAACCCATCCCCTTCCCTCCCAACCTCCACTCCTTCCTCACCTGTTTCCTTCTCCCAACCCCAGAGCTGGAATTCTCCACCAAAAAGAAACCAAAGCAGCTCCTGAAATCCCTGGACATCTACATGAGCCGGAGCCTTCAGCAACGCTCCGGGAGTGGCGACCAGGAGATGGTCTTCACTGGTGTGTGTGACCTTCAGGGTGAGCTGGAAGGAGAAGCTCAGCTGGTTTGAGACGGAGCAATTCCCAAAGGAATTCCCAGAGGATTCCCAAAGGGTTCCTGAAGGATTCCTGGAGGATCTTAGGTCCAGGTGGCAGGTGTGGAGCGGTGGGAGGTGGGGAGAGGGATCTGAGGAGATCCAGGAGCACGGGGTGCTCCAGAGTGGGGACTTTTGGATTTTTTCCCTGAGTTTCCAGGAAGGGAGGCCTGGTCCTTCCCCTCAGGATTGTACCTTTCCCAGTGGGAATCTCCAGGGGTGAAGGAGGGAACATGGGCAGAGCCAGGGGGGCTGTCACCCATTGGTCTCCAGCTGGGAATCTCCCTCTGGTCCCAGTCCCTGCTCCCAGATCCCATCATGGGGCTCCTAGATCATGGGCTAAGAGCCTGAGCACAGCCCTGACATGGGACACACACACACACACACACGCACCCCCAGTGGGGGAGAAAAAAAGACTTTGCTGCTGGTTCCTGGGGCCAGGGCAGGATTTCCCACCTTCCCAACCTTCCATGCCTCAGTTTCCCCCATTTATAAAATCCAAACCCTGGAACAGCTGCTCTGCCCCCCCCCTCCCCGAAATGTTCCCCAAATGGGTTAAAGATCCAAATAACTGGGTGAAAAATCCCAATAAAGGGGTGAAAATCCCAACAAATGGGTGAAAAATTCTGATAAATGGGTAAAAATTTCCAATGAACAGGTAAAAACCCCAAGAAATGGGTTAAAAATCCCAATAAATTGGTGAAGAATTTTTTTAAATGGGCAAAAAATTTCAATAAGTGGATTAAAAAATCCTAATAAATGAGTAAAAATCCCAATAAATGGGTGAAAAATCTCAATAAATGGATAAAAAATCCCAATGAAAGGGTAAAAATCCTGAGAAAAGGGTAAAAAAATGTAATTAAAGGGTAAAAAATCTCAATGAATTGGTGAAGAATTTTAATGGGTGAAAAATCCCAATAAATGGGTAAAAAAATCCCAATAAATGGGAAAAAAAGGAGCCTGGGGTTGTTTTTTTTATCTCTCCTGCTGCTGGATTGTTGGATCCATCATGGGGGGGTGTGGGAGGAGGGGTGGGTGGGGAGAAAAACACCTTTGGGAGAGAAAATTG